CAGCTGAGCAGCTACTTGAACCCCAACTTAGGCTTAGTAACCTGGCACAGAAAAAAAGCAGCACAAGCATATAGAGTCATAGAATCAACTGAAGGAGGGAAAGTCTAGGTTGGATGGGAGAAAAAGGTTTTTCCCTGTTCTGGTGGTGAGAGCCTGTCCCAGGGTGCCCAGGGAGGCTGTGGCTGCCCCAACCCTGGCAGTGTTCACAGCCAGGTTGGATGAGCCTTGAGCAACCTGCTCTGCTGGGAGGTGTCCCTGCCCAGGGCAGGGCTTGGGGCTGGGTGAGCTCTGAGCTCCATTCCAACCCTTAAATTCTATGATTCTTTAACATGCTTCACCTCCCTGTCAGCTGTCAATATCCTGCTCCCAGTGAATGCTCAGACCTGTCCTGCCCATTGTGCCAGAGCTGAACAGCAAAGGTTGCACAAAAACTACCACCCAACCACAAAACTGCTTCTTCACACAGCTTGAGCAGCGGGGAGATAAAATCAGCAGCTTGCAACTGCAAATAGTAAGGTATTACATTCATGGTGCTATGCCATTTGTGAATAAAATTATGCAAAACCACCCCCAAGGCAACACAAAGCCTCGGAGATAGTGAGAAGCTGTTCATGCATTGAGAGCATGGATGGGGATTATATTAAACTCCAGCTAATCCTGAGCACACAGGGAATTTCAGAGAGAAAAGACCATCAATACTTTTTCCCAAGAATCACCTAATTTCCAGAGATGAAAGGAGTTGGGAAGATGAGGCAGAACCAGTGCCAAGAGCAGACCCCAACACCCAGCACCACACCAGCCAGGACAATGGTCAGGTGTGCTCCTGGACTGGGCACTGACTCTGCTCCTGGCTCTGTTCCCACAAGGAAGAAAAATGCTGGAAGCAAAGACTTCAGAGGAAAAGCAAAGAAGTGCCATGGCCCTTTGTCTCCCAAGTCCTGAAGGGGAAGGCTGAGGGCAGCACGAGCTGGAAGCTCCTGCCCTTCTAAGGAGGAAGAGAGGTCACATAGGAGCTGTGGGTGCACCTGCACAGACACAAAGGGTGAGGGAGGGAATGGGTGCAAGGAGAAAAACACTGACATGAGCAGGCAGGGAAACTACACACAGGAAGGCATTTGAGCTGTGAAAAGTACTGCATGGGTCTCAAAACAGGTCTGCAGGGAATTGTAGTGCCAACCATGTCCTGGGGCATCAGGCAAGGCATGGCCAGAGGGAGGGGATTGTCCTGCTCTGCTCTGTGCTGGGGCAGCCTCACCTGGAACAGTGTGAGCAGTTTGGGCACCTCAGTGTGAGAAAGAGATTGAGTTCCTGCAGAGTGTCCAAAGGAGGCAACGAAATGGGGAAGGGCCTTGAGGGGAAGGCACGTGAGGAGTGGCTGAGGCACTTGGGCTGTTCAGCTGGAGAAGAGGAGACTGAGCACAGAGCTCATGGCTGGGACAACTCCCTCAGGGAAGGAAGTGCAGGGACAGCTCTGAGCTCTTCTCTCTGGGCCCAGGGACAGGAGCCAGGGAATGGGCTGGAGTTGTGTCAGGGCAGGGTTAGGCTGGAGATTAGCAACTGGTTCTTCTTTCCCCAGAGGTGTTTGGGCCCTGAACAGCTCCCAGGGCAGTGTCACAGCCCCAAGGCTGACAGAGCTCCAGAGGTGTTTGGCCAATGCTCTCAGCACAGGGTGTGAGTGTCAGGGATGTCTGTGCAGGGCAGGGGTTGGGCTGGGTGAGCCCCAAGGGTCCCTCCCAGCTCTGAGTATTCTGTGATTCTGACTCTGTGAACTGGCTGAGCTGGCAGAGTTTTACACTGTTGCTCCCACCAGACTGTAACAACTCACGTGGAAGTTGCACTGTAAGGAGCTCAGTTCCCTCTTACATGCTCATCATCTTATAGCTCGGGTCCTCCTGATGTCACTACCCTGTGTCAGGATGTGCCTGAGACCCTTGGCATCTCAGAACAAGGATTAGAGGAGGTGGACATCAAGCTCTCTAACTCTGTTACAAATATGAAAGGCAAAGAGAAGAATCTCAGCCTAAGTGGGTGAGACAAACACATAGCACCTAATTTATTCCCTGCCTAATCCACCAGCTAGAAACTTACATCCTCTTAACACTTTAATGAATAATGAGCTCTTTAATGTCACCCAGTTAGCTCAGAAGAACAGGCTGTTTGGCACTGGATTCATTTGAGATCTCCCATCTTTTCTTCACATATATCAGTGACAGTTTACATTTGTGAATATAATACATCTCCTTTAGTCAACAGTATTGTTTTCAAAAGCCTTAAAATATAGATTTACATCATTAATCTCTCTGTATCTCACAGAGCTGAAAGCCAGCTCACTTAGCAATTCATGCCACATCATTCTGAAATCTTATCACCAGTTCTAGAGTTGATAGGACACTTCATATTAGTCTTGCTTACTCTTGTGTTACCATTTTTGAGCCTTAGAGTGGTGACAAATAAGATTGTTTTCTTCATTTTCCCAATTCTGTATTTCTCATTAGACAGAGCAGCAAAAATCAGCTTTAGTGGCACTTGAGTGGCTGTCACAGCAGCACTACCTCTGGTTTTGGGAAGAGCTGCCCTTGCAGTGGGCAAAACACAAGCACACAGTGTATCCCAGCAAACATCCCTCCCTGTTTCCCTGGCAACACTCCGAGGTCTACACAAAGTGACTGCACCAAGCAGGAGGAAACCCAGAGGAGAGGAATCATTTCTGCACTTCAGCATCATGTCACTACTACATTCGACAAGCAACAAACCCCAGAGAGATCAAAACCACAACCGAGTGGAAAGAGAGTACAAATGTGTCCCTGGAGGTCTGAGCAGAGGTTTATCTGCCATGGTTTAACAGTGCTGAGGTTTGGTCTCAGTTACAAACTGTAAACCTGTGAAAGGATAAAACCAGCACTAAAACTCAGCCATGAACAGGCTAAGCTGTTTTATCACTTTGCTGTTATCTTCTATGCTCATCACTGCATGGATTTATAGCACAGATGGGTCTGGCTCGTTTTCCCTTACAGCCTTTAGTCCTGGACCAGCTTGATCAGTGGCTGAGGATAATAACTGCCTGAGAGTCACTGGGACTCAGTGCTGGTCCTGCCCTTGGACACAACAACCCCATGCAGCTCAGATTGTCAATGATCCTACACTGGGATGATCTGCTGACTCCCTTGAAGGCAGAGAGACCTAGACAGATGAGAGAGTTGGGAATCACCAAGTCTCACAAAGCTAAGTGCCAGATTCTGCCCCTGGAATAAGGTGGCCCTGGATGTCTGTCTACAGACACCAGTTTGAACACTCAGAGCAGCAGCCAGTGCAGACACAGCAGTATGTGCAAACAACAAGGCTAAGCTGCTGCTTCCATGGCTGGTTGTGTTCAGTTTAGTTGGATCATTTAGCAGAAACGTTGGATTAGAGCTGAGGGAAGATTTTCCACTATAGCAAATATCCTCCACATCCTTTTTATTTCTTATCTTTTGATCCTTTTCATTCGAAGACTGAATTAATACAGAGAAAAAACAGTTCATTTTTCCCTACTGAGTACCATTTAACCTGAAGGTTGAGCTACAAATGATGCATAAAGTGATTTCTTTGTGTGTGTGTGATATTGTCACCAAACATCAAGAAAGCTGAGAAGCCTCAAAGCCAAGAGGTTCAGGCAGGTTCTGCAGGGCTCTTTGATCAAGAGGATTTTTTTCTTCCCTTTCTTCCCTTTTTTATTCCCCTCTCATGCTTCTCTTCCCTGTCTGACCTCGCTGACACACAAGGATTTGGACTAATCAGCTGTGCAGCTACTGCACAAAATCTCAGTGGGAATATTCAACCAGCTGTTCCTCCCACACTCACCTACCAAAGGGATCCCCAGCTCTAAGTAATACTTTCTGTACAATCCTCTCAGGGCCATGCATACAGCAGCTGGTAAATTATAGCATAAAGGTTTTCATCTCGCTGCCTAAGTAGCCCATTAATGCTTAAAAGGAATGACAAGAATGAAGTCGACCTTGAAACTGAGACAGAAGTACCTATAAAATTTTTCTGGGGCTGTTTACAAAGGGAGGAGCCAGAAAGATGACCATAACCATCCTGGAGAATACAGAGAGTGTTCAAGGCTGCAGCTGCACCTCTGATGTGTGGCATTTACAGCTCCTTACAGCACAACTGTGGGAAAATTCATGAGGCCAAGGGTGCAATATTAGACAGATGTAGAGGGAAACAATGCCTACAGCTCACACTGAGATCCATGGACATTGCAGCACATTAATAGGGATCACAATCTAGATTCATTTTAAATGTAATATTGCAATATTTAGGCAAAAAAAAAAACAGGCTATACAAACAATTCCTTATGTATGAAAGCCTAGCCACTGAGCAAACTCTTAAAATTCATCCATCTCTTGAGAGCAGTTGGCAGATTTGTGGGAAGGATTAAGCAACATGGAAAGAAATTGCAAATTCAGAGCTTGAGATCATTTTTGGAGAGGGGCAAGGAGGAAATTACCTATTAGCAAATGGCTGCAAAAACATTCATGAAAGGGTTTTTCTGGAGGAGTAGCTTGAAGGGTGAGACACTGTGGGCTCGAGAGAAGTAACTTCCATCCTGCAGTAAGCACTTGTGTCCAGACTCTCACCCCACAGCAATAGGGTGGGATGGGTATTTTGGCTGAGAGAAACTGCCCTGTTTTAACTATGGTGTGAAGAGCTTAGGCACAACTTGCTGCCAAGGGACAGCAGGGACAGCACTCCAAAGCAACCCAATACACTCTCCTGCTTGAAAACACTTCATGCATCCCTGCACACAATTCTGGACCAGGACAGGTACAAGTAATTGCTGCTGCAAGGCAGGAGCTTGGCTACCACTTTATGGCCTATCAGTTTCAAAGAGAGAGGCTGCATCACTCATGCTACAGAAATCACTGTGTACAACATGCTTTCCTTTGTTTTCAGTAGCCCACTGAGTTTCTAACACGGACTGGGACAAAGTAGGCTGTAAAAGTCAGTAACTCCTGTCACTTACTTGGCTTGGAGTTCAGGATGACGTTTTCAGCAGTGTGCTGGGGTGGAAACCTGCAGTTGTCTCCTTGGCCCTCACTGCTGCCATACTCTATGACTTCCACTTGTCCCAGGGGCACACTCCACTTCAACAAATACCTCTGGCCAGTTGTCAAAGTGCCACTGCTTTCGTAGGAAGAGCTGGAAGATGCACAAATATTGCTGTGACAAGCAACTCTGGCTCATGGCATCCCACCTATTGCCTTAGCTTCTCAAATCTGCTGTTCAGCAGCTTGAGTAGAGTGCACAACTGGAAACAAACACCTGCATCACTCTGACCCTTCCTGGGGTGCAAAGAGCAGCTGTGCAGGTGCCAATAATCTTGTTTACAAACATCATAGCACTGCCAGCAACAGTCCCTGCATTTCTACAGCAAGGCATAAAGGACCATTTTTTAAGATCCATGTGCATTTTGACATCCTAATATAAGCATTTGGGGGTGACCTCCTGGCTCTCTGCAACTCCTGCCAGGGCTGGAGAGAGGTGTGGGATGTGTGTCCTGCCAGGGCTGAGGGAGAGGAGAGAGGGAATGGCCTTGAGCTGAGCCAGGGCAGAGTCAGATTGGGGGTGAGGAGAAATGTTTTCCCTGTTGTGGTGTTCAGCACTGGGATATTGCCCAGGGAGGTGGTGCAGTCACCATCCCTGGAGGTGTTTCAGAGGTGTCTGATGTGGCACTGCAGGATCTGGGTTAGGGTTTAGGAGTTCCAGCAGTGACAGGTTCATGGTTGGACTGGATGATCTTAGAGGTCTCCTCCAAACCTCGATGGTTCTGATTCTTTACAGCAAATCTCTCTAGCTGCTGTGGCTTCTGAGAGTAATCCCACCTGAACTATGCTAAAGTGTATGTATCACAACAGGCATGGCAGAGGGAAGAGCTCACTAGGAACAGAAATGACATTGAAACTAATTTCCCTCTGTTTCCTTCATTCCCTTATTCCCATTCAAGCACATAGAACAAACATTTATTATGGAGGACAAAAGAGATGTTAAAGTGAACAAATAAGGTTCACCTCACAGAAAGTATGACTGGAATGCAGGAGTTAAATGCTTGGGAGACCTCAGCAAAATACATTTATTGAGGACAGTACCTAAACACTGAAGTTGTGCTCATCAGCTGACACAGTCACACTTTTGGTTCAGTGAAGAGGCAAATACCAACAAAACACACACAAGCCACAGCTTAAGTAAACATTTATAAATTCTTGATTCAACCCAAAAAAGAAAACAAAGCTGTGCAGGACACTAAGTAACATCCAAGTGTTACTAACAATCTGAAGTATTTGTAAAGGCACAGACAACAGGATAATTAACATGAGCTGCTTCATTTTCTGAAGTGCAGTTATTGCATGGCACTTTGCACTCACTAACACAGAACCATCAAGGCTGGAGGAGACTCTGACCATCCAGTCCAACCCTGAACCTGTCACTGCTGGAGCCCCCAAACCCTAACCCAGATCCTGCAGTGCCACATCAGACACCTCTGAAACACCTCCAGGGATGGTGACTGCACCACCTCCCTGGGCAATATCCAGTGCTGAACACCACAACAGGGAAAACATTTCTCCTCACCCCCAATCTGACTCTGCCCTGGCTCAGCTCAAGGCCATTCCCTCTCTCCTCTCCCTGCAGCTGTGACAGGACAGACCAAACATTCACACACCTAGAAAAATATGTACTGTGTTCATACTTTGGTAATAAACCAAGATACCAACTCATATTTTTCTTCAGAAAAGCTGTTCTTGGAAGATTTTCATGCTCCATGTTCTCTTTGTCAGAATGTACCATCACATCAAGCAATTTGGGATGCAAACAACATCTGAATGGGAATGTGACCTTGGCACACACAGAGCTTTAGAAACAGTGATAATCACAGCCAACAAAAGCACAGAGAGCACTATGAGAAATGCTTCCTTCAAGCACCTCAGCTTTGATCCTCAGATGTTTGGTTTCAGAGATAAAAACCCTTTCCCATCTGTAACTCTGTTAGTGATTTCCAGGTTTGTTTTGGCGACATGCATCAACTTTGTGTTGGTTTTTGTGTTGTGGGTGGGATTTTTTTGGGTTTCCCATGGGGTTTGGGGGGGGTTGGGTTTTTTTTTAACTTGAAAATTGTGTCAAGTTACAGATTTGTGTGTGTGTGTGACAGTATGACTAAGGGAGAAGAGAAGAGAGTCCTCCCTTGCCATGTCTGCATTCCTCTCAGCACCACTGCACAGCAGTAACTGGACACCACAGAGCACTGCTCTCTGCAAGCTCCAACTGATATCATTTCCTTACAGATTTACTCCAGAACTTCCAAGCACCATCAACTCAGAGGTCTATAACAAAGCTTCATTTATTATGACTACTCCTAGAAATCATTAGTAAATACAACCATAAAACAAATGTCAGGAAGTGTCATTTTTTCCAGCTGAAGCCTGAATGGTCATCTGAACAGATACGGATCAAGTCTTACCGAATATTTACTGTTGCACACATCAGCACATCGTTCAGCATGAAGAGTCGCCGTTCCTTGGTTTTGATGATTTCTCCTTTGTCATTGTAGACTGTCTCCACCATATCATCAGTGCGTATGAGGTACCTGTTCCCACTGCTGAGCAGCTGCAGAGTGAAAACAGAACAGCATGGGATGCTACACATGGGACAGCTGGGCAAGAAAATCAGAGAAAATACACAATCACAGGCTCAGTCAGATTGGAAGGGACCACAGTGGGTCACTGGTCCCACCTCCTACTCCAGCAGGGCCAGCCCAGAGCTCATGGCTCAGGGTTGTGTCCAGAGGGGTCTGGAATATCTGCAGTGAGGAGAATCCATGACCTCTCTGGGCAATCTGCTCAGTGCTCAGGGACTGCACAGGAAAAAAGTTCTTCCTCAAGGACTAGAAAACCACTCTCCCTTCCACCATCCTTTCCCACTCCCTTACCTTGTTCAGGTAACGCTCGTTCATGGCCTTAGCTATCTGTTTGATCTCGCAGCGCTGATCTGCATCCCTTTTCCTCTCGTTCAGCTTCTCTGCCAGAGTCTCCAGCTCTGTGAGAGCCATCTGCAGAGGCAACCTGTCAGGATGGCCCTTAGTAGTGTTCTTCAGCATATCCTGAGGGGAAATTAGAAAACAAAGCAAAAATCAGATTTGATTTCAAAGCCAAGGTGAGAAGATTACAGGATGTAAAGTCACAACTCCACCCCTTTCTGAGTACTGCTGAAGAACAAGGCCCATTTCATGGACATTCAGACAGCACATTGCTTACCTTCCTCAGGGCCTTAACAATCCTTAAAAAGCATTGCCCCTCACATCCAATCTGGCCCTGCCCTGCCTCAGCTTATGAGCTCTGGTATAAACACATCTCTTTGGTAAACATTATTTACCTGCAGAAGTAGAATGAACTGTGGAAAACGCTGGATAGGTTTCATCATCAAACCATAGAGTGTGATTCGGTCAGGGCTTGACTCCTGGCACTGCTGCAATGCAAGAAAGACACAATTTATTGCCATAAGCTCATTTCCATCAGTTAGAGAACGAAAGCAAAACATTTCCTAAGGGTTCTCCTCCACCACGTACATCAATTTTAACAGTAGGACCATAAAGTTTCCAATTACTGTAAAGATCTAAAAATATTAAAGCTTTTCTAAAGAAAATCACCATTAAAATGATGTGCTGTTACTGAACTGAAATCTGCTCTTCATCAGATGCAGCTGGGCTGAAGCCACACCAGCAATACATGTCTATAGTGATAGAGCATGATGTTTTTACAGAACCAGTGCATGAAACTTCTGCTTCTCTTCAAGCACAGCAAAAAGAAGGTGCTTGTTCCAGGTCTTAGATTTGAAAAATGTAAGAGATCTGTTGATTTATAGCCTGTAACTTACTATTGCTGTTCTGTTCCTTAAGGCTAAGAGACTATAAATCTCTAACTCCCTATGGGTTTCTAAGAGGAAACCTAAGGAAAACACCATAATGTCAGTGCTATGCAAGCAGAGATTTTCATCATCTTTAGTAGAAGAAACTAAGGAAAAGAAGGTTGATCTATGATTGGAAAGAAAAAGGTAAGAATCCACTATTTCAGTTATCAGGAATGGCAGATCATGGAATCATAGAAATATCAAGGCTGGAGGAGACCTCTAAGAACATCCAGTCCAACCATTAACCTGTCACTGCTGGAACCACCAAACCCTAACCCAGATCCTCCAGTGCCACATCAGACACCTCTGAAACACCTCCAGGGATGGTGACTGCACCACCTCCCTGGGCAATATCCAGTGCTGAACACCACAACAGGCAAAACATTTCTCCTCACACCCAATCTGACTCTGCCCTGGCTCAGTTTATGACCATCCCCTCTACTTCTCAAACTAGACACTTTGATTTAGGGATAAACCCAAACAAACTTCATTTCCCTGTGCAGAACAGCCCCATTTGTATAAGCTATTTCAACATCTGGAAATATTTTGGCCAGAAATAGGGAGAGCAGAGGAAATACTCAATATTAAAACCAAAGCAAACCTAAACACTATTGAACTGGTGCTGTGTTTCAATTGCTATTTATTGCCACAACAATTTGTTTCCAATGTTATCTCCACCAATATCCAAACAGCAGGAGTGAAGATTCTGCACTCCATCACTGCTGGGCAAATGAGAAATGAAAGGTACAGAGATTTCTTTTTGCCATCATAGTTTGGTCATGAATGCCCAGCTCTGAGCAGCACCAGTGCAGGACTGACAACAAAACCACTCTGCACTTCAAAGTACATCCCAAAACACGTCACATCCTTATCCAGACAATACAGCAGTGGAAGTGAATTCCCTGGAGAGTTTTTGTGCCAAACCTATAAAAGATAAACCCAAAGCCCATAGAAGCTGTGAGACAATATACAGTATCAGCAGAAAATTTCCTCCTAACTTATCCTTCCTCATTTATATAGGCACAGCTGTTTTCAGCTGGAAAGAACTCACCTTTAAGAAGTCCAAAAAGGCAGGTTTGGTGGCACAGGATTTCTTGAGGATCCCTACTGCTGTGCTGAAATTGTTCACATATTCACTGTAGGCATCCAACACCATGGACTTGGAGAACTGGAAAGACAAAAGGGCAAACCTTAGCTGCAGATACAAAAGACCCATGAAAGCAGAGCTATCTAGACCTCAAGGATTTGCCTCACTTGGAGCTAAGAGCTTTGCTTCTCCTGAGTCCACAGAAATACTGGTGAAACCCAAAATGATCTCTCTGTGGAAGACAGGGTGGAAACAAAGGTGTAACAGCTCTGAACTGCAAAACAGATTTACATCACTTGGCTGCAAGACTAGGGCAGAGCCTGAGGACTACGAAAGGCACCCACTGAGGTTCAAAGTGCTGCCTGGGTCTCCTGATCATCTCACTGCTACCAGCCTGTCTTCCAGGTGTCCCTGCCCAGGGCAGGGCTTGGGGCTGGGTGAGCTCTAAGCTCCATTCCAACCCCTAAAACTCTATGAGTTTATGAATTCAGGACATCACCTACTGTGGTATTTTTCAACTGGCAAACTACTATGTCTGACTCCCTACTCTGTAAGGGACGTGAGCCTCAGTCTCACCTTAATTTTGGTGGCCTTGTGGGCCCCTTAATTCCTCAGAAAAACAAACTGTTTACTTAAATGCCTGAAAGCTTGATCAAAGCCTGAAAATTCTGCTCCCAGTCCTCTCACATCTGCTGGCCAAGCCCAGGACATGTGTTGGTGTCACTTCCCTCACCAGGAGGGTACATACAAGCTCTGACAGTTGCCACAGGCATTGGAGAATATGGGAATACAGCAGCCAAGTTAGACAGATAGATCTGGAGATGGAATGGCAAGCCTGAGATAAAAGCAGATCCTCTGTTCAAATGCATTTGCTTACTGAAGCAACAAAGACATCCCCGATCATCTCCACAGAGTCCCACTCGGACACGCGACTCGCCAGGGCAATCTGGAACATGGAATGGCACTGAAGGATCTCCTTAATCCGATAAAACACCATTTTAAGCTTCCTTTCACTCAGTAATTTTGGTTCCATGTCTGAAAGAGGCTTCTCATATTGCTGGGGGAGGCAAAAAAGAGCAAATAGATTGAAACAAACAAGCAAAAAAATGGACTTCTACAAACAGAAAAACCAACTTATTTAACAGTGCACACACACAAAATCACAGAACATTTGGCATGAAGCATCTGTGGCAAAACCTGTGAGAGTCATATGACAGATACTCTAAGGGTTTGATTATTTTTCAGACTTTCAAAGTGAAAAATACAAAAGAGATGAAGGTACCTCCAGGATTCTTTTGAGAGCATCCACATAATTCTTCTCACTGTCAACGACAGAGCCCAAAATATACCTTCTCACCACCTGTTGAGACAACAAAGTTTGGTGCAAAGCTCTCATCAGGTAACAAACTCAGCATAGCTGGGAATAGTGATGGCAGAGCTTGTCCATTAACAAAACACAAGAAATAGAAAGCAATTTCCATCCCTCAACTGCACTAGAACATTACTGCACCTCTTCAAAAGTAATTCCAGTTACTATTGATCTAAACCCATTTATTTTAAAGATGATGATTATTGTTGGGTTTTTTTATTTTTTGGGTTTGGTTTTTTTTGGGGTGTTTTTTTTTTTTTTTTTTTTTGCTGCCTGGTGTAACTCCAAGCTTTACTTTTAAAACTTGTGCTGTAACTTTGGCCTTTGGGCAATGCTCTCTGGCACATGGTGTGACTCTTAGGGCTCAGTGTGATTCTTAGGGATCATAGATTCATATAATTTTAGGGGTTGGAATGGAGCTCAGAGCTCACCCAGCCCCAAGCCCTGCCCTGGGCAGGGACACCTCCCAGCAGAGCAGGTTGCTCAAGGCTCATCCAACCTGGCTGTGAACACTGCCAGGGTTGGGGCAGCCACAGCCTCCCTGGGCACCCTGGTCTCACCACCCTTAGAGTAAACAACATTTTTCTCACATCTAACCTAGACTTTCCCTCCTTCAGTCTGAACCCAATATCCTGTGCAGGGCCAGGAGTTGGACTTGGGTGATCCTTGTGAGTCCCTTTCAGCTGAGGACATTCCATGACCCTATGACCCTCAGAGGTATCAGTGTAGGCACTAAAGGGAACCAGTGGTGTTGGCTGCTTTGGTGAGTTGCTGCAATGAAACAGGCAATGAGTTTTCCAAAATCAGTCCTCAATTTTATTTGTTTATTATATTCCATCAGTTTGTTAGGAATAACATGAAGGACAACCAAGCAAACACTAGTTGCCTTTCTAAGGTGAGGCCATATAAACTGCAGCACAGAGGAGCATCCAAGTCAGTCAGCACACTCTCCTGGGCACTACCATGCACGAGCCAAATCCCATCTCATCTATATTTATACGCACTGAGAGCTGTAAGAGCTGCAGGGAACGTTACCACAGTTCATGTTTACAAATTACAGGCTGTTCATCACTCCTCCTTCTCCACCTCCTGCTCCTGGCATCCAGCTCAGCATGCTTTGTGTGCATGTGCAGGTGACAGGACAGGAAGGGCTATGGAGCTGATCTGGTTTCAGATCTAAGCTCCTTGTCATTGATTAAATTTCTTGCTGGTTATAGGGATTTGTTTGCACCCAGATCCAGTGCCTCATCCTGCAGAGTCTTCCCAAGCAGCACTGAAGGACAACACAGAACAAGAGCAGGATCAAACCACTTTCCACAGCTAGGAGAGAAGGCAAAACAGCTTCTTCTGCTCTTTGAGGGAGCCTAAATGCCATGAGGCTCAAATCTGAGGGTTGTTTCTCTCAGCTCCTGACCCCCTCCTGTCTTCAAACCTCTACACTTGTACTTTGCATCATCAAGCACAGGTAATGTAAGGATTTTTCTTTCAAGTACTGCCATTTCAAAGGAGGACTTAAAAATCATCTGAGGCTTCGCTTAAAGATACGTACAGTAAAATTAGTTGTGTCTAATCTGTGTTTAGAATGGATTTAGCAGTGTCTGATTTGGTATAGTGCATCAGCTGCTCTGGTGAAGAGAACTAACTCTGCTTTCAGTCACAGTTCATTCTCCTGAAGAGTAAACAACTGTAGAAGAAAGAATTTCAGGCTCTATAATTCACAAAATGGATACTTCATTGTGCCTACAGGTTGCTGCGATAGATGTGAGCTACAATCCAAGGCACAGGATTCCCAGGCAGCAGGACTGAAACACAAACCATCGTGCCACCTGCTGTTGGAAGGCAACACATCCAGGGAACAGCTCCTGCAGCAGCTCCAGGGGAGGACAGGGAAATGCTGAAGGGACTGGAGCACCTCAGGGATGAGTTTTTCTTCTTCCAGCCTACATGTTGTAGGACTTAACATATTGCTTATTTTATTGCTTCTAGATCACAGATCATCATGTCTGGAAGAGGAAGAGCTCAATTTGTTTATTGATGTGGACTGTGTGCATACAGAAGCAATTATGACTCCCATGCCTGAAGGATTGTCCCAGCAGCAGGTAATAGGCCTGGGGAAATTCTGCCTCTTCTTCTTCCCCTTCTGCTCTGCATCAGTGGCTCTCAGGTGCCTTTGCTCTTCAGACATGTACAGCTTAAGTGAACATGAAATTCAGAGCTGGATAAGCAGTTTGTTGGAAACTGGTGTGTGGTATCAGCCCTGGATTCAGCCAGAATTGCAAAACGCTGCTTTGCATTATGGGATGAGCTGATGCCCAGGATGGAAGGAAGAACTTCTTTGCTGTGCAGTCCCTGAGCACTGAACAGATTGCCCAGAGAGGTCGTGGATTCTCCTCACTGCAGATATTCCAGACCCCTCTGGACACAACCCTGAGCCATGAGCTCTGGGCTGGCCCTGCTGGAGTAGGAGGTGGGACCAGTGACCCACTGTGGTCCCTTCCAACCCAACTGATTCTGGGATTCTGTTTCTGTTGGTACATGATGTAAAGGTACTGCAGACCAGCCTGGACTCAATGTCTGTCCCACAGTTGCCTCTGTGCCCCTGATTTCATTTCCAGTCCTGCATTCCTAACTCACAAACTTCCCATAACTCCAGAAGGCAAAGACTCCCAGCTCCATCCCTCACAAATGGAATGCCACAGGTTCAAAGTCACATCCAGCAGATAAAAGACTCAGCCAGACATTACTAAACCTCTCTGAATCACAGGGTCAGTCACCTCCTGAGCCATTCCCCTTCCACCTTCACTCCTCTGATCCTGTCCTGAGCAGGGGCTGCAGGGTTGTCTTCCCTTTCCCTAGCATTGCCTGATCACCCACTGGGCTTTGTTCCATGGGCTGCAACCTTCTCAGCGTGGTGTCCTCAGCTGCTTCCCACCTTCCAGCTCACCCACACAACCTGTAACTCACCTTATGGCTACAAGGGAACTCTGGAGACTGCTCCAAGTCCTGCTAAGGCAGAGGTTAAGTGCCACCCTCTGCTCCCACAGACCAGTCACCTCACAGGGGCTCAAGCTGGTAAGGCACAAATGGTCTCTGATCCATCTCTGCTGACTGTTCCCACTCACCCTCCTGTCCTACCCAACCCAGACAGAGCTCCCAGGAAAGTCTCAGCTGTCCCTTAGTTTGGATTTCTATTCATTTTCTGAAGATATTGACCAATTAACTCATGACCTAACACCACAAGGAACAAAAAACTCACATAGAGTTATCATCACTTGTCATAACAACCTGAACCCACAGGATATATTTGCAACCAAAATTTGTAACTGGTGCTGATTTCAGTGTTTTCTGAAGTGGTTTCCACAGTGACTAGAGAGTTTGAGGAGGAGAACAGCAAATACAACCTTCTGTAGCCTTGACTTTAAAAAACTTGTCCCCAGAAATCAAAAAACCTTTAGATTCAGAGAACATACACAATATTCTCTGCATTTTTACTGGAAACCCCAGTGCACCTGGAGCAATGTCTTCTGACTCAATAAAAATGCTTTTAGCCTCTTCTTTTTTACTCAAAACCATCACATTTAGTCTGAGTGTTCAGGTAGTGAAACAATAGAGTCATTATAGCTCATTCCATAATGCAAAGCAGCGTTTTGCAATTCTGGCTGAATCCAGGGCTGATACCACACACCAGTTTCCAACAAACTGCTTATCCAGCTCTGAATTTCATGTTCACTTAAGCTGTACATGTCTGAAGAGCAAAGGCACCTGAGAGCCACTGATGCAGAGCAGAAGGGGAAGAAGAAGAGGCAGAATTTCCCCAGGCCTATTACCTGCTGCTGGGACAATCCTTCAGGCATGGGAGTCATAATTGCTTCTGTATGCACACAGTCCACATCAATAAACAAATTGAGCTCTTCCTCTTCCAGACATGATGATCTGTGATCTAGAAGCAATAAAATAAGCAATATGTTAAGTCCTACAACATGTAGGCTGGAAGAAGAAAAAACGAAACAACAGAAAAGCAAAGATCCAACCCTCCAAGCACAGTAATTACACATTTCCACTTACCCAGCACTTCTGTATCATCTGTGAAATCATAGAAATACCACTACCAACAGGTTACTTAATAGAGAACATCTTTCAAAGGTATCCTAAGTTCCACACAGCAGGAGACAGCCTGGGCAGCTCTGCTTTGAACCCTACTCCCCTTGGTGAGAGCACAGCTGTGCAGTGCAGGGCATGGCAACAGGGGTTTAAACACTGCAGCTCCAGGGCTCAGAGTGTTCAAATAAATTATCTCTGGGAGCAAATTAAGCATACACAAAATATGATCCAGCTTTACAGAGGTCATACACCTTCCATCACTGAGATAGAGGAAGTAGCCAAGTTTACTGGAATCAGAGTCATAGAACCATCAAGGCTGGAGGAAACCTCTGAGATCATCCAGTCCAACTCTTAACCTGTCACTGCTGGAACCCCTAAACCCTAACCCAGATCCTCCAGTGCCACATCAGACACCTCTGAAACACCTCCAGGGATGGTGACTCCAACACCTCCCTGGGCAATCTAGTCCAGCCTTGTTCAAGTCTTGATGGTTTTAGCTTCCTGAAGTTACTACCATTCATTTAGTTGGGCAGAGACTCAAGAAAAAAGTCATACTCCTTCTCAGACTTATCCTAAAGAAGAAACCAGTTCCAGTCACTATCTCCTGCCTCCATGGGCAGCTGCTGGTGAGGCTCATGACAAAGGGCTGACACTTGCTTTCATCTACAGAGAGAACACAAACACCTCTGGCTTTTTTGACTTTGGTCCACTTTGTTTTCCCAAGACAAATTCAGCTTTCACCCAAAATCATCAAACTGATCAAACAACAGTCTTTCCTCCTACTTCTTCTCTTAAGCACCAAAAGCATTTGTTATCCCTTGACAAGGAGGAACATCTTTAATAGCCAACTATGACTCCACTGAAAACCATGTCAGAACAGCAGGTTTTCCTGACACTAGGGAGTTACTTGACGGCAAGAACAGGACAGATTCAGCAACTTATCATTTCTATGCTCCCATCTACCAAAACCTAGACAGCCTTTGTGCACTCTTTGGTGGGATTTTTGTGGTTGTTTTTAAGTTGACTCTTCTCTGTGGTCCTTAGATCTCTCAGGTCACTCAGGGTCTTGTCCAAAACACCAAACTACTCAAGATGCATTGTCCATACTGTCATCTGAACTGAGTGTGATACATGTCTGATTTCTTGCATCTAGTTCTCAGCACCCAGGATAAAAATCCTCTAGGCCACTCATTTTCTCTCTCAGCAATTACCAGAGAGAATAACAAAGGGAAACAATCATTGGCACATACCTTGGGAAATGAAAGATTTTGTTCTAATGAAGGAACGACCCTTCTTCACAGCTGCTTTTGTCTTTTCCAGTCCATCTTTGGTGCCTTCTCTAGCAGCTCTCATAAGCTTCTGCATCTGTAAATAACAACAATAGAGTCTACATGTTCAGGGAACAACAGGAACACATTTGGGCCTGCACACCATACAAAGGCACCTTGACAACTACACCATCACAAAGTTGAGGCTAGGAGGTCTCTAGTTCCAGGAACATGCAACAAGTAGACAGATCCATGAGGGCTCAGATCTGAGTACCTGCATTTCTCAATGAAATGACACCTGGAGAAAGGGACTGACTCTCACTGTATGCAAGTCTAAAGCAGCAGAAATGCTGAAGAACTTTCTGCATCAACCATGAACTCAGAACAGTCTCAAGTGCTCAGCTCTACATTACACAGCAAACACCTACTGTGCACAGGTCATTAAGGGCCAAAGTTCTTGTTCATCTTCCAACGTCCTAATGACTCTGCCAAAGGATTTCTGACCTAAAGACTCACTTCTGTATTAACTCTCTCTTAAATACTGTTGTGCAGACAATGTTACAACCAATAATTTCACTAATTGAAGAAATGAGTGGATTCAATTAAGAACTACATAATCATATAATGCACTACCAGAGCAAAATGAAATCTCATCCAAAAAAAGTGTTGCTTTTGCTAGAAAATGCTTATTAAAAACATACTTTGTACTTTTTCTTGCCCGAAATGACACCACAGCAAAAACTAACCACTACTGGGAGAACACAAACAAAGCTGTCTTGCTGCAACCAGGAAATTTATGGGTTTGAGGCAAAGCTCTTAGCAGAAGTTCAGCCTTTTCAAACTGGCTCCATTCAGAGTGGACATTCTGAGCCCACAGAGGTGGCTGGAGAGCCAGGCCAGGCCACTCCTGTGGAGCACAGCCAGGACTGTGATACACTTGGCCAGCTCTGGGATGAAGGCACCAGTCAGCAGGTAAAGGCAGTGCCTTATCTTCTGAGACTGTCAGCATTAAAAGCATGAGGAAAAGTCCTGGACCAAGTAATTTTAAGACTATAGCAATATTAAAGCCTTTAATTTAAAACCTCATAGTAATAACAATCCAGAACATTGAGAATTCACTTCACACAAATTATTGTCCACTTTTTCAACTGCTATTAGAAGACAACATTGTCTGTGTTGCTTTTTCAATTGCTATTAGAAGACAACATTGTCTGTGTTGGAAAAGCAATGACTTAAACACAGCTAGTCACAAAAATCAACTACACTACCTTCAGCTCATGTTTTTGCCTTAGTTGCTGAATCTCTACTGCTCCCACAGTGTTTGCCATCAAATCTCTCATCTTTCTTTCATAATGCTCCTTTAACCGTGTTAGGTCATGAGAAAGCTACAGTGTACAAAGAGACACAACCTTTTCAACAAGCTGCAGAACAAACTTCATGCTAAACTACTCCCAAAAATCACACCTACTGCCCCATCTGCCTACAGATACACACACCAGAGGGAAAACTGCCACTGAGGGAAGTTCCAGCCTGAAGAACAAGTCATCATGAGGGTCAGTGAGGCTCAGTGCTGCTCCTGCCCTTGGCACACAACAGCCCAAGCAGCTCCAGGCTGGGGAGCAGTGGGGACAGAGGTGTTGGGCACAAAGGGCCTTGAGCTGAGCCAGGGCAGAGTCAGATTGGGGGTGAGGAGAAATGTTTTCCCTGTTGTGGTGTTCAGCACTGGGATATTGCCCAGGGAGGTGGTGCAGTCACCATCCCTGGAGGTGTTTCAGAGGTGTCTGATGTGGCACTGCAGGATCTGGGTTAGGGTTTGGGGGTTCCAGCAGTGACAGGTTAAAGGTTAAGTCTGATGATCTTAGAGGTCTCCTCCAATCTTGGTGATTCTATGATTCTAAGATAAGAAATCTACAAACTGAAAACAAGAGTTCCATGATGTAACACACCCTGGTCACAACCAGCCCCTACACCCTCCAGCCACAGGGAGCTGGTGCAGCTCTCTGTTCCCAGCTGTGAAGTGGCTGTGGGAGGGTCTGTCCCAGTCAGCACACACTGGGGGCCCTGAGTGCTCTGCAGTGACTCTGGGCACCTAGCCCAGCCCTGCCTGTCCCACCAGCCCTGCACTCCTTGCCCCCAGCACTCAGAGCAGGGAACAGGCTGCCCAGGGCCAGGCAAGGCTTGCCCCTCACAGGGGCAGAAGGAGAGGAGCCAAAGCAGCAGGAGAACAGGAGTCCAGGGCTCCTCCTGATGTGCAGTGAAGAGATGTGGCAAGGACAGGCACACACATCCCTGTGCCTCCTGTCTCCTGCAGCATGGATGGAGCATTTTAACCATGTCCCCTCTCTTCTCTCCTTAATAAATGGCACAGAGTTCTCTTTGATTCCAAGAATCTTTTGTTTTCAGGGCTTTTCTTAGCTCAGTTATCTTCAAACAACCCAAGTGCCACAGATCTAAGGCAGAAATGTAGGGAACACTGGTGAAGAGTGTCATGATCTTAGAACATGTAAAGATCCCAAACCTTCAATTCCTGTCAGGCTTACCCCAAACAGTTCTGCACATTATTTTCCACACTTACCACCTGCACTAATTTAAGAGCTGCAAAAGAAGGAAAGGTGAGGAACAGCCCAGAAGCAAAAATAATCTCATTTTTACTTTCATTAGTATCAATCCAGGATTTTTCTTTTTTCTTTTTTTGGTGAGAAGCTTCTGCTTAACATTTTCATCTTTTCTTTTCCCTGTTACATTTCAGTGTGTACTGTCACTTCCACACTGATCCACATGTCCTTTATAAAGATGCTGTTGGCATTTGAAACTGAGTTGAGGAAAAGAGAAATGCAGAGGAGAAAGCCAAGTGCTGGAGAGCTGGATAACCCCAGTGAGTGAGCAGCACTGTGAGATACATACATGTTTCTTGTGGTTGCCACGCAAAAAGGAGCTGGGAATTCCATTCTTGCACTCAGAATCACTCTGCTCTTCATAGCTTTCAAACTCACTCGAGCTCCAGCCATACTCCAGAGAGCTGTTCCCACCATCATCACCATTTTCAACGTCATCATAAATCATTTCCTCTGCACAAATTAAACCAAAAAAAAAAA